TAGATAGATAGATAGATAGATAGATAGATAGATGGATCAGGAGTTGAACTGTGAGGTGTTCTAACCTCAGCAGAGGATCTTACCCACTTGGTCCTTTACTGTCTTGTCAGCGAACACTGAGAAAAGCTTTCATGTGGCTGCAGCTGTCCAACTCCTAGAAGCTGGTTGGACACCTCTGTGGCCTCGTGGTAGGAAACCAACCATCGGTCGGGGTGATTAACCTCTGCAACCGGCCAATCAGACGGCAGCTCGGCAGGCTAATGGCTGCCAGGTGTGGAGCTGCACACGCTCAGTCGACTCGGCCGCCGCCTCCACGTGCGGACATGAAAGAAGGCGAGAGCAGATCTGACTCCTGTGATCCTTCATCTGTGTCCTCTCCTCTTAGATTCTATCAGATTCACAAACCTCCTCACAGGAATCTGTCCCAGAGGCGACCATCTGAAACCCAAACTCTGCTCTGGGCAGCACAAGAGAAAAACTACAAACATGTCGCATGCAGCTGTAATCCAGCAGATGTGCCGTGACTCCTCTCTGCTTTGCATTAGCAGCGTTTCTACATACATCAGGACAGATTTATGTCCAGCATGCTTTCTAGGGAGAACACTTCATCGTACATATGTGATGTTGCTCCAATGAAGAACAACTGGTGCATCGACGGGTTCTGACCACAGCGTGAAGCCTTCTCTGCAGCCTTGAGGTTGTTGCTCCAGTCTGATAACGTGTCAGTCAGCGTAACCCAGTTTTCCTTGGCTTCGCTCTCAGATAAACACATCGCTGCCACCCGATAGCTCACCTGATCTGCTCCCACTTCATTCCCACGTACGCCGCTCTGAGCACAGATTCATTATGACTGAAACTGAATCTGTGTCGAGGCTTTGAAGCTCGTTAAAGTTCACCCAGATCACACAGAAGAAATCTAGTTTAGCCTTAGTGGTGTTTAATCATGCAGGAAGTTTGGGTTTTACTGGTTCAGACGGATCTCCTTCACAGACGTCTGAGACGATGAGGCCGAGAGACATTCAGGATAATCGCCTGAGAAAAGCTGACAGCACAAACAGTGGTCCACTTCTGTACAGTCTGAGCTCTTAGTGTTAATTAAACACTCATCTGGCTTTGTGTGACCACATGGTGCTGCAGCTGTAATGAAAACTGTCATTTTTATAGGAACACATCCCAGAATAAGTCACACCAAGACCCTGAAACTGGAAACCTACCGCGTTATATCAGAGAGAGAAGCCCAGCGGTCCAAGGAAACAGGATAAACTCTTGTTTTTGACAACAAAAATCTACACTTCAGGTTTCTGGTTGCACCTTTACCAGAACACAGTTTACCTGCAGTGTGTGGAATCTTCTATCTGACGTTTGAGACGGAGTGTTCAGCGAACTGCCAGGTAACCTTTATATTCAGTCCACAGTGAGTAGAGACAGTCTGATGGGAGACTGAGCTCCTCTCAGGGTGGAGCTGGAGGTGTTTCTGTCTCCATCATCCATCCATCCATCCATCATCTCTACACCTTAATCCTCACCAGGGTCATGGGGGGCGGAGCCTATCCCAGCTGACTCAGGGTGAAGGCAGGTTCACCTGGACAGGTAACCAGTCTATCACAGGGCTACACTTAGAGACAGACAACCAAGCACACTCACATTCACACCTACGGACAATTTACAATCACCAATTAACCTCAGCATGTTTCTGGACTGTGGGAGGAAGCCGGAGAACCCGGAGAGAACCCACGCTGCACGGGGAGAACATGGAGACTCCACGCAGAAAGATCCCGGGTGTCCTCACCGGGACGCCAACCGGCGACCTTCTAGCTGTGAGGCCACGGTGCTAACCACTGATCCACCTGCAGCCCCCGTCTCCATGATACAAACAGCTGTCCAGTGTAGCAGAACATCACAGTCCTGCAGATAACAGAATATCTGGATGTGCTGGACAGAGACAGAAACGCTCCAGCAGTGTTGTTCAGATGATAGTTTGAGTTCTTCTTCTGGTGTTTCCCTGGTGGACCACTGGTCCATCACGTCCTGTAACGTCCATGCTGGTGCTGCACGCTTCATTCTCTCCACACGGCCAGCAGCTGTTGTTCAGGCAGCGTGTTTCTGACAAACTTTAAACTTTGTGCAGAATCCCTCCTCATGCCGAGTCGCTGTTCCCGTCCTGAAGGTGAAGCTTGACGGCCGGGCTGAGCATAGCGCGCTAACTTTAGCAGCTATACGTAGCATTTCAATGGTGTTATTTCAGCAGCTGCCGTGTGCTGCTGTCAGACCTCCGGCACAATGACAGCAGCTAATGTTAGCGCTCCGTTTATAGGTCGCTAAATTAGATAAGTGTCAGATGTTTAGAGGGAATTACAGCAACAGACATCAACTGGAAAACAAGAAACCTGCTGCAGGTGAACTGGAAAATGTATTTTTGTGAGTCAGGTGAACTGAATCTTGTGACGTTCTGACTTGTAGAAATATGTGGAAAGACCAGAAACATCAGAGCCGCCAGAACAATATTAAAGAATTTAAATGGAACAACACCAGCGCCTTCCCCAGAGGTGTTGCTGAGTGAAACCAAATGATCCCCCCCAGGAAGAACGCTGTGGTTCCTAATGAGCCCTGACCAGCCTCATTACTGAGTTCCTTTAAAGGTCGTTATACAAAACACAGTAAATCAATCATCAGCTGGTTCTGTATCTGCAGGAACTTTATGATCAGAGTTCTACCTTCAGACTGGGAGTGTTTCCAGACTTCCAGGCCCTTGAAGTCCACAGAGGAGGGTCCAGATGACTGAGACACCTGGATGGATGTAGAACTGATCTGGTGTCAGGTTCTAGCAGAACCCAGATGTGTTCTTCCTCCTAAATGTCATGTGTCTATCTGCTGTACTGATGAAGTTCTGAGGCTCAGAAATGATGGAAAAAGTCCATTAAAGTGATCAATCTGGACCCTCCTCTGTGGACTTCAAGGACCTGGACCTCTGGAACATTCACAGTCTGAAGGTAGAACTCTGGTCAGTGGATAAAGGTGCTGCGGATACAGAACCAGATGTTCTGAGGAGGAACTTTGAGGTTTCGGGTTGACTTTATGAGGAGCTGTTTGTCCTCAGATACTTCCCTCGCTGTGAATGAGTCTGTGGGTTTTCTCTCTCTGGCCTCAGCAGAAGCGTGTCTTCCTCTTGACTTCATCTCTTGGCTCATCTCTGGATTACTCCACTTATCATGCGAGTGCTTAATGGACCCGGACAGGAAAAACTGCAGCTGTCAGTTGTTGGTCTGGTAAATATGCAGCGCAGCCGGTAAACACAGCCGCAGACTATTTAAAGCAGCCTGTCAAAGTGTCACCATGGAAGCCCGTCCAGATGATGTGTCCTGGCGATCCATCAGCGCACATCATCAGAGCTCTACAGGAAAGCCTGTTGTTCCTCTGAGCCCGGTCTGAGTCTCCAGAACCAGGATTCAGCTGATGGACGTTGTGTTGTTTGTTCGTGAGGCGGTGTTTGGGGACGTGAGTTTACTCTGAGCTGGAAAACATCTCAGGACATCTGCTGCCTCGCAGACACCAGATAAAACATCCAGTGCAGCCTGTGAAGTCCTCACAGAACCTCATCAGACCATCCTCTGACTGGACCCGGCTCCGCTCGGTGGACGTTCCCACACTCAGGCATTTACACAGCTGTCCAAATACAGGAGTCCTTCAGCTGAGATGTTCCACCTGAGGCCTCCAAAGTTTCATCGTCCCCCGAAAGATGCTAAACGTCGTTTATGCATTTGTTCGTTTCTCATCAGAAAGCTGGACACTGGAGTTCAGAACCCGGCCTGCTGCTCCCTGGAGTCCAGAAACGAGCTCAGAGGATCGCTCCCACAGTCACTGTGCTAATTATAATAATAATAATAATAATAATAAGAGGAGAGTCCAGCGCTGCACTCATCTGACTGAAGCACAGAACACAGACGTAGGAGAACACGAGCTGCAGCAGAATGAATGTTCTCCTGCAGAACGTCACCCAGCAGGTCGCCTCCAGACTCAGCGCTGGTTTAAAATGTGTGATTCTGAGCATGGAGGTTCTGAAGGATCCAGTTCATCAGAGTCCTGCTGCTGGTCTGTCGTGTCCACAACATTCAGTCCTGGACTGTAAAAAACCAAATAAAGGTTCAAACTTTGAGTTTACTGATTTTCTGTAGTTTGTTAAACTACAGATAATAAAAGAAGCATTAATTAATCTGTTAAACACCAGAAAACAGTTGAACCTGTAGAGAACAGTCCATCTATCTGCTCTGTGGTCATGTTTGTGTTTGTCAGTAAAAAACCTGAATGTGTTGGTATTTGAAGGAAGGTTTGTGTATATTAAAGATTAAAAGATGATTTTACTGATATTTCCTGTTGTGTTAAATTACAGATAATAACCAGGAAAGTAATTTAAAACTTTATTAATTTACATTTTGACTGTAAAAGACAAAAAAATGACACAAACTGTTAATAAAATATAGTCATTTATTTATTTTAACGTGTGGCTGAATATTTAAATCAGCTAAAAATCCTCTCATTTAAACCTATTTGTCGTCGTAGTTTTGACCTGTTTTAGTCATTAGACGTCCTTTAAGGCTCTCAGCACGATGACCTTCGCTGCTCGTTAAAGCTGAATGAGCAGCAGCAGCAGCGCCCCCTGCAGGTTCTTTATCCTCCTCTGATGAGCAACCAAAACGCTTCATGACACAAAAATGTGGCGTCGTGACAATGAGGCCGAGCGGCAGGAGGTCCGGAGGAGAAATACGAGCGGGTCGGACTCCAGACGAGCAGCTTTTTGAGCTCTTTGCTGAGCGGCGTCTGCGTTTAACGGCTCGGTCTGTTGTCACGCTTTAGATTCACATCCTGCAGACGGAGATGGGATTCCCAGACGCTCCTCACTCTGCTGCCTCCACGCTTCACCTTATAGTCTGTGTTCATGTTGTTCCAGGTGTTGGAGCTCTGACACAACAGAGACATAAACAGCTGCCCTGGTTGTGTTTCAGGCTGTTCCTGAAGAGCCACAGTGGGACTGCAGGCCGGCAGAGCAGCCTGGTGATCCACGGAGCCGACTTCAGCACCAAGGACATGGACAACGACAACTGCATGTGCAAGTGTGCGCTGATGCTGACCGGCGGTAAGACATTCACCTCCAGCCTCGGTGCTGGTTCTGCAGCCTGCTAACAGTCTGCTAGCATGAATCAGAGGCGACTCACAGGAACGTTTCTGCAGGAAAGTCCAACAAACCAACATTTTCATGCTTCATTTGGTGCCGAGGCCTGAAGTGTGGTTCATACAACCACCTGTAGACGTGCAGCAGGTTCAGAAGCAGGAGGCTGTGGTTGGACTGGGCGGCTCCCAGTCGCTTGTAACTGAAATGTTGTGGAAGTAGAAGAAAGAGAGACACTGGTTTGTCTTTTTTCCAAAAAGAAATGTCAGTTTCTGTCTCATCCTTTCAGGTTCTGTCAGTTTATCTGATTTGTTGGTAAAGAAAGACATGAACTAGCGGCTGAAGAGCTCAGGTGATGCTTTTTGTTGTTTTACTTTGTTTAGTGTTGCAGCTTGTTGTGCATGTAGGAGAGAGTTTAATGAAACAGAACCACCGAGGTTCAGCCCGTCAGTGGCCTCACATTGAAACAGACGAGTGAACTGAACATGAAAACAGAAGGAAAGTTAACAAACCCAAAAAAGAAACGGTGAAGCGAGCCCCAGAAGCCAAGGCCCGGTCCGATGTCACCGTCTAATTAAACACACATATGAAGGCTCAGTGTGTTCTCAGGTTATGAACAAGATGTTTGACTGCAGTTAAAACTCAGCTGTTGAGACGTTAAAACATCACAAAAGAGACACGAGCGCCTCAGTGCAGCACAAACAAGATAACAGATATCATAACAGAGCATGTTTGTGTCTCTGAGACGTCTGCAGCAATAAATGTCCTCCAACGTAAATAAGAGTCCATTAGTGTCCAATATTTAGAAAATCTGAATTCAGCTTCACACTGAAACCCTGCGTCACATCCAGTGATGCAGCTTCTACAGACTTTACCTGCAGGTGTGTGTCCGCTGTGGGTCAGCAGATGTCGGGTCGGTTGTGTTTGTTGTCAGCAGCTGGTTCTGGATCCTCACTTCCTGGAGCTCCATCACGTTCAGACTTTGGTTTCACATCTGCTGCTTTAGAAACGCCTGCCGGGTTTAGTTTCACTTTCATTTAGTCTGAAGTTTGTACCAGAGCCATCAGAACCGGTACAGACCCAATGCTAGCTGAACCGTCGCTACCGGAGCCGTCAGAACCAGCTGCAGACCCAATGCTAGCTGAACCGTCGCTACCGGAGCCATCAGAACCAGCTACAGACCCAACACTCGCTGAACCGTCGCTACTGGAGTCAGCTGAGAACCAGCAGACTGTGGTGACGGTGGAGGATCTTCAAGCTCCAGTTGGTCTGAAATCACCAAAACTATGAGGTTGACATGAGAGCAGAACCAGAACACGGAGCAGCACCAGCCATCACATGGAGTCTTGGAGTTCTGTTTTTGGTCTCAAACAGCTCCTGAGCAGCTAAACTCTCAGGTGTCAGATCTGTTTAGAACGTCTAAATAACTAAAGTCCAACAACAAACGTAAATAAAAACACACATTAAACGTTCCACAGGCTCCAGACTCCCTAAAACCAACGTCTTCCTTGCTGTGACCCACTGGCAGACCTGAGATCCATCTCAGTGGTCAAACATCTGGAGCACCTGGACTGAAGTCAAACATTTTAACATGTATTTTGAGTAGCTGCAGGAAAATTCATCAAATTTCAGGCTAGAAGACGTTTTGGGTGTTTTTGCCTTCAAACGTCTAAACGGTTAAATTTGACCTGAACAGTCTGTAAAGGGTCAACTACCGTAATGTCTGGACTATAGAGGCACCTGAATATAAGCTCCACCCACTGACTCTAAACAGGAAACCAGGTGTGTTCATATCCAGGCTGCTCTGGTCTCTAAGCTGCAGGTGTCCACGTTGGAACATGAGATATTTACACAGAAAGATGTTTTAACCTTTAATTAAATGCGTAGCGGTAACATCCACAGATACGTACCGTAGAGGCTTTTTTCTGAACACTTCCTGTAACACGGCTGGTTAAGGAAATAAAACTCCAGCAGCTACCAGGAAAAGTCCCTGATGGCTATCTTCATCTTCCTCCTGCACTAAAACCACTAAAGTCGTCTTCTTCAGTGTCTTCAGGAGCTGAACAGCCTCAGAATCACTTCATCACTTCCTCAGTCTCTCTGTCGTCGTCGCTCTCAGCCTCACTTTGGTCTCCAGGTGAATTCGTACAAATCCATAAATTAGTCTCATCGTTGTTTAAGCCGCAGCGTTCAGAGCGTGTGAATAAAGTAGCAGCTTCTAGTCCAGACATTACGGTAACAGGAAGTGAAACACTTTGTCTCCTGAACAGCTCCAACCACCACCTGTCAGAACTTTTAGTGTTTCATTTCCTGTCTGACGTCTTTGAGCAACGTTGCTGCGTTGCCAGATCTCAGCAACGTTTCACCGAGCAGCAGGAAACTGTTGAAGCTCCAGACGGGTCTGAGCAGAACCATCCACCCAACACAAGTTCAGTTGGAGACGAGGTTCGGCTGTTCCAGAGGTCTTCTCTCCGTCTTTATGACCAGTGTTCACGGTCCGCTCAGTATCTGGGTCACGGCGATCAGAACCGCTACTTTAACATCCATCTGCACCTCTTAGTCGTCGCTGTGCAGCCGGTCCAGTTGGAGCCGGGCGCCGTGTAAAGAGGTCCGGGCGGCGCCCCAAGTGTCAGACAGATTTAAAGTGACTGTAAACGGAGCCGCTGACCTCCGAGGTTCTGACCTGGTTCTAATCAAGCATCTCTGAGCGCAGATTTAAGATCAGCTCTGAGTCACCGCCGCCGCTGGCAGGCAGCTGGCACCCGACCCGCCGTCAGCGCCCCGCCGGGCCTGATTCACGGCCTGCACACATCCAGGCAGAACCGGCTGGTCCGAACCCAGCGCTGCCCCGTTTATCACCTGATTTATCCTCCTCGTTCATGAGAGCCGGGCTGACTCGGAATGACGTAAGGTTCTGGAACAACAAGAGGAACTACACGAGGACGAGACCCGGATCAGAACACAGAACCAGTATATTCACAGCAGCAGGAATCTCTTCAGACCAGAACCCCGGAGGATCGGCGGGGAGCTCGTACTTCATCAGAACTGGACCAGACGGCAGCTTCTGGTTCCTGCTTTGAGCTCGACGTGGATGAAGGACGTCCAGTAAAGCAGCGGGTTGGACAACCAGAACCAGAACAGACGGAGGAGCTCTGAGTTCTGCTGGCTGACTGAGCAGCGACTCGGCTCCTCACGTTTATTATGATCCAGCATCAGAACACAGAACCAGACGTTTACCACCTCTCAGGCTGAAGCTCGAGTCTCCTTTGAGCCCGGTTCGGTTCTCCACCAGCGTCTGGAGGACACGTCGATGTTCTGGGTCTCGTGGTGTTACGACGAGCAGCAGAACAGAAGAACCATCTTTAATCCTGAACCAGTTCAAACAGGAGGCGATGAAGTCATCGACGGTTCTGCCTGGTGTCAGAACCGGTCTGATTGGGTTTACAGCTTGATTTGGTTAAATTATTGTTGTTCAGCAGTCTTGTGCTGAAGAACACGACAGGAAGAAACCATGAAGAGAAATAAAAACACACATGAAGAAGTCGAACAGAACGAGTCCAAACACTGAGGTTCTGACTCCACAGAGTTATTTATGGTGTCAGTTAATCAGAAGAATCACATCTTAGGGATTAGAACCAACAGAACCACATAAAGCAGGACGACACCGTAGTGAGTCCAGAGCTCAGCTGGATCAGAACATGAAGGATCAGAACATGAAGCCTTCATGTGACTGATTCAGAGCTGAAGTTCTGACCCACTGGAGACCAATCAGAGGAGCAGGCTGTGGGTTTTATTTTATTTTATTTACTTTCTAAAATGTGGAATGTTTTTAGGTTTTTGTTTGTTTCCTTTAATAATATTTGTGTTTTAATTTATTTCTTGATGTTTGTTTGATTCTGTTTTATTTTGATGATTTGTTGATCATTCATTTGCATGTTGGTTTAATTTAAGTTATATTTTTATTTCAATATTTAGTTTTATTTGTTAATTTCATTTATTATATTTGTTATTGTCATTATTATTGATGCAACTACTAATAATAACAGCATCAGTAATAATAATAATGAATAAATCCTGCTCCTCCTATTGGCTCCAGCTGTTGCGCTCCGTGTTGCTGAACATGTGTGTTCGCGGCTGCAGCACTGATAACGTGTAAATTCACACGTGTGTCCGATTACTGCTGGTGATCAGTGAGCTGGGCTGAACCGGCATTTAGATCGACGTGAGTTCTGTCTGATCCACAAACAAACGTGGTGTCCAGGAGGCGCCGAGGTCACCTGAAGGGCTGGAAGGAGGAAACACGACCATGTTCTAAAATAAAATAACATAAAATAACATAAAATAAAGAAGTTGGGATGAAACATGTTCTAATAACACTGAGCTACAGGAATCAGCTTCCATCTTCATTTAAAGGAGTTTTTGAATTAAAATAATTAGGAACTCAATCCTGAGTTCAAGTTTTTAATTAATTGACTCCAGCTGGACTTTAAATCATAAATCATTCTAAATTCATTAGAATATGAAGTTGGACGTCATTAAGTCCACAGAGCTCATTAAACACGGTTCGTTTAGTTTGGCTTCATGTTTATGTAAATCATATTGATTAAATACAGGACAGCGCCTCCTGGTGGTCAACACGAGGAGCTGCAACCTTTACAAACTAAAGCTAAACATTTGTATAACGTTTCAGGACGTTTGAAGCTGCAGGAGTTCAGCTCGTCGCTAACCTGTTAGCTTTTACAGCTTCTGCTGCAAAACTGAAGCGTGTCCGTCGTCCTCGAGCTGAAGTCCAGGTTCACGTTTGTTCACCAACGTAGAACATAAAGACAGAAATGAGTGATCTGAACAACAGGAAGTCATGAATATAAGATGCAGGCTGAACTCTCAGCTCTGTGGAAACCAGAGGGTTTAAAATCAGCTGCAACACGCCGGCGTTCGGTTGAAACGGTCGGACAGCCGCCGTGTTTGGCTCTGAGGACGCTGCAGTTCAGGGAAACGCTGAAATGTGTCGCCTGCCAGCAGAATAAAAGCTTCAGATAGCGTCCCGCTGCAGCAGCTTTAAATAGACGGACGAGAGCAGCAGCAGGTAGCGGCTCGGCCGTGAACCTCCTGACAGCAGATAGCAGCGAAATGTGTCTGAACGGAGGCCAGAGAAACGCTCACCTCCACCAAGGACACGGCGGAGGGTCGAGCAGAGTTCAGTAAAGCCTGGAACAACAAGGACGCAAAGACTTCTCCGTCTGGTTAAACACATCAGAGAACCTTTAATATGTCCCAGATAGAAAGAGTTTATTAAAGCAGAAGGAAACTCGTCTGTCAGGTGTTCAGAGAAGCAGAAAGAAAGACAACAGTCAGATAAAAGTAGGATTCTTTAGTAAAAACCAGGTGAGCTACAGTCAACTAGAACAGAGAAGTCCGGAGTCACACTGACACCGGATGCAGTACGAGTCCACATGGAGGTGAAACATGTAACATGACAAGGACACGTGTCAGCATCAGGGGCAGTCATTCACTTTACCGCAGTGTTTCAAAACAACTTCTGAAGTGATGAGAAGAACCGTTCCAGGTGTTGCTCATGTGAATGACGCTGCTCCACCCTGACATACCGTCGATGAACTTAGCAGCTGAAACTGGAATCATGCACATGAAATATAAATATTGCACATTACATTGAAAAATGCTGACATCCATGAGAGAGTGAACATGAAAATGAACTGTTAGACATATAATGTAAATGTTGCACCTATAGCTGAAGTTTGCACATGAAGCTGAGATTATGCACATGAAAATGGAACACTGAAGATTAAATTAAAACACATGTGTGGGGCGGCCGGACAGCTCAGCGGGTCGGACCGGTGACCCGCGAGCAGCGCTTCAGTTCCCGACCCAGCCAGCAGGTCATCTGCTGGACGTCCTCTCCTCACATCTCTCCGTCACTCATCTGCTGCTCTACACAGAAACACCTTTAAAACAAAAACACTGCTCATGTGTTAAATGTGACACATGATGATGAAATGATGACTGCACAGAGAAACTGACCGTAGAATGAAAAACCTGAAACATTCACTGTTAAAAAATGAAAAGAAAATTCTTGGACATGTAACAGAAACACTGCAGCTGATACTGAGCTGGTTCTGGTAGTTTAATGGTAGCAGCTGGACCTGCTTGAGTTCCTTGAAGACGTTCCACCTCCATCCAAGAGGCTTCATCAGCTCTGACTGACTGGTTGGGAGTTCCACATACTGACATCCTGAAGGAGACATTAACACCTGAGTTTAGGTTTTAATTGGAGGTTTGTGGCTCCTCCCCCTCGTTATGTGAGTCGTTAGTGCTCCTCCTGACCCGGTGGGGTTCGTTCGGGTCTCTGTGGCTACATTAGCTCATGTTGAACCTTCACGGTACTGAGCTGGATTTTGCTCAAGCTGCTGATGATGTGTTGTTGTCCAGATGGTTTATTGTGCTCCTCTTGTGTCCAGGCTGGTGGTTCGACGCCTGCGGTCCGTCCAACCTCAACGGGATGTACTTCACTCACGGCCAGCACGTGGGGAAGCTGAACGGCATCAAGTGGCACTACTTCAAAGGGCCCAGCTACTCGCTGAGGGCCACGGCCATGATGATCCGCCCGCTGGACTTCTCCTAGTCCCGGCTCGGCCCGACCGTCCAGCAGCTACCCGACACATTAGAGGGACGCTTCCTATTTTATCCTCGTTTTGGCCGGGAGCCGCCCGGCGGACCTCTTCCTGAAGCCCAGAGCGGCGGACGTTCTGCACCGGAGCCTTGTTGCCCTCATGGGACTGAGCGTGAGGAAGCAGCACCGAGCCGACCGACAGGACGGAGCCGCCGTGCACACGTCGGTCGGCCGGTTTGGACTCAGCAGAACCACGTCTCTGGGACTTGTTGTCATAACTGGACTCTTGTGGATGAGAGCAGCTAGAAGAGCAGCAGAGACTCTGAAAACCTGCAGGACAGAAACTGTTTTTTTACTCCGGCGTTGCAGCTCATAGGTTCTGCCTCCGCGCTATACTCTGTGTTTGTTCTATTACTGTTTGTTATGCAGCTCGTCTTCGGTACCGTTCAGGCTCTCGTTACGTAAAACGCTCGGTGAGAATCACACAATTATACACCTTCTATTCTGACAGAGTGATTATTTTTAGAGTTCGACATGTGAGGTTATTATTGGACTCGGTTCTGGACTCGGATCTGTTTCTCTTCGCTGCTGGCTGAGAAACGGCTGGAAGCTGCCAAAGCCGGGACCGTGAGCGATCGTTTACCTCCGCCGAGGACGAAAACAGACCAGGATGAATTCAGATGCACGTAATGAGCAGGAGGACGGTCCGGTCGGATACCCAAACCCGAAATAGACGCCACACGCTTCCTCTGATGCTTATATTAAGCCAACAGCGAGCCACGAGGTTCTCCTGTCGGATGCATGACCTCCGACCTGCAGATCATTAAGACCTCCTCCTCCAGAACCTTTCTCATCAGCGTGACAGAGAGGTTCTGTTTCCCATCACAGCAGCTTAGAGAGAGGAAAATAAGAATCAGGGTTGGACCCGAAGCGTGAAGCGACCGACCCGCAACAACAACACGACCTGCTGTCTGTAGAAGTCCAGCTGACGTGTTTGTTAGCGCCGCAGCAGCAGAACTCGCCGGGCGTGTGTGAGCAGCTTCCCTGAGTCCGATGTTGGTTCTGAAGTCGAGCATGAAACAAGTCAGAATAATAACCGTGAACAATGTTGATAACTGTGCTTTACCTCATGGTGCTGTAGATGTGCAGGTGTGTGGCTGGATGAATAAAGCAGCTTCACTCTGAGCTCTCAGCAGTCCGGGTTCTTCATCACAACATCTCCAGCTTGTCTTAAAGATGAGCTCTGAGATAAGGCGGTTCCTCTGTGGGGTTCTGGCCCGGCCCAGGTGCTGCAGCTTGAACCAGCTTTGGTCGTTTGGCTCCTTCAGCGACAGATTAGCGACGTGTGAAGCGACGCTGTCCGGACCCGCAGCGTCGCTCATGTTTCACATTCCTGGGCCTAATCAGAGGTTAAACACATGCCGTCCTTCAGCGCCGGCACCGACCCGACACCTCGCTGGAATGTTCTATAGAGCCGCAGGCAGCCGAGTGTGAAGGAGGTCCACCAACACCTCCCACGGCTCAGACTGGAGCAGGACGGAGCTCCACCAGGTTCAGTCTGAGCAGCCATCGGTCGCCGTGGTGGAGCAGCACCGGCTGTACGCTGGTGTTCATAAACAACAACAACAACAACAACAACAACAACAATAAATAAATATGAAGAAACTATTAATATATGCAAAGAAACGATCAGATTTAAATACTAAATACTTTAATTTCTTATTTTCACACATTGTACAGAAGAAAACACGATTTATTAAAATACAGATTTTTAATGATATTTACAGTTTTTTTCATGTTGTTTTCAGTAAAAATGTAAAATAATATTTTTTTGTGATTTTATGAGATATTAGCTTTAATTTAACAGAACAGGAAAAATCAGTAAAATAACTATTAAACCATTTTATGATCCTTAATTCCCATAATTTTTTATTTCAAATAACAACAAATATAAATATAAATATATACATATATATATGTATGTATGTATATACATATATAAAACATGTGATTTAAACACAGTAGAACAATAAAGATTTAGTCAAATGTAAAAGAACAAACACATAGAAATGTAGATGACTGATGCTGATGTTTCAGTTTTAG